TTATTAAAAAATATGAACTTCCAGCGCCAACTTATTTCCGGTATGGCCGCTCTCATGCTTCTCTCTGACAAAAGTATGTATACTACAGACACGATGCTTGTATGTGTAGTTACTCACAAGAGAGAGGCAACTACGATTTCTTTCTCACTTCCTTCCGACACTTTTCAGCCTGCTATTCCCCTTCCATTTATATGTGTTCTAAGGTTTATGCTCGGTCTCTATATTTTCTATGTCTATGGAACACATCCTGAGATCCGGATTTATTTTTTGACAGTTCTATTTTTTGATATTATCTTCGAAATATTTGATTCTGTTAATTGAGTATAGTCTATTATATAGTTTATTGTATATTAAGATACAATTATTATGAAAAGAGTAATCATTTTCGTCAATGGAACCGATATTAATGGCAAGGTGATGCCATATTACATTAACAGTAAATTATATTTTATTTTCCATTTCCTTTTCTCTCTTTCTCTCTCTATTTATTTTTTATAACCTAAAAACCTAAATATTTAATTTAATATTTTTGATTATCTTAAATTAAAAAGATTATCTCTTGAAAAAAACCAAACTTGTTTTGTATTTACACACTTAAAAATGATATAGCTGTTTGCTAAAAATAGATATTGTCACATATTTTTTACTGCATGTACTTTATTTATAATAGGTATTTGTGGTGACTCATTCATTAAACGAATTATTAGTAGCAGCTAGTGCAAAATTTGATATAATCGCAAAAAGGATTTTTACATCACAAGGTGGAGAAATTGACGATATCAAGCTAATTAGGTAAGATGCTTATTTATTTCATTATTTTTTTATTATTAAGATATTATTATTAAGATATTAAAATATTATACTTATAATTCAGATATGTGCCATATTTTTTTGTAGCAGATATATCATGTATATTTTCTAAAATATTTGATATTGTTTTCACACCCATACATACAGACATAAATTATTAAATAATAAATACAATTCCTTTCCACAGAGATGATGACATTCTGTATGTTTCAAGTGGAGAAAGTTTTATGCAGGTAAACAAGATATGTAGTCATAATCAATTAAATAGGAATTCAGAATGGATTACACTGAATGTCGGAGGGAAATATTTTACTACAACTAGAGACACTTTGACAAAGAAAGAGCCTATGAGTATGTTAGCAAGGTACTTTATCTTTTTTTATTTATTACTTAATTATTATCACAAACTTATATGTTGTTTTTCATTATAAATATTTAAAAAATTAAGCATTTTCTTTTATGTGTGTTTGTTAATTCCTTTGTAGTACTGCGATATCAATTTTCTCTCTTTTTCATACAGTCGAAATATATCTATAACCATATTTTCATAGTTACTTTTATTTACAACTTTTAATGGATTGTACAACCATAGTAATTAAAATTAAGTTGAGAACAAAGTTGGATTAAAATCAAGTTTACAATATCTATAATATATTTATTGAAAAACAACACTTAAATTATTTATGGAAAAATATCACAGAATAAGCGTTGAAAAGAATGAGTACAGTTATTGAAACATATTCTTTGACGTTTTTAATAAAAATCTTTTATTGATTATATTATATATATTTTGAAAGAGGGAGAGAGAGAAGATATAATTATACATAAAATTTTGCTAAGTTATAGTAATATATAGTATTTTAAATATATAAACAATTTTTTATTTCATTTTATAATAATAAGTTATATTCTTTGAGCAAGTACGTTTCATACTTACATTTAGCCTAATCATCTAATTGACTGATTGAACTTTGATGCTAAAAATCATATTTTCTTATTTTTTTACTTGTTATATTTTTATTTTACTTCTTATTGTTGGCCTGCTTTCAATCTCAAATTATTTTAAAAATTTATAAGACAACTCTTAGGAAGGTTCACTATTTTACTTGGTATTTGAAGATTTTATTTTATAATGTGTTATATGTACATATATTGTTAAACTAAGGATAAAAAATTGTTATGCTCAAAATTACTTCAAAATTATGATAATCTGCAATAAAAAAAAATTGCATTTAAAACGTATATGAATATAACTATTGTTGTTTGCTACATATATGAATATAACTATTGTTAAAAGTATTAAAGAAGAAAAAATCCATAAAAAATAACTCAATTCATAATTTCTAAAAATGAGAGTTTTTGATTTAAATAATTTTTATCAAAGTAATCTCTGACAATAGCATACTGCAAAATGTATATAGTTTTTATATACATTATTATTTTTTGATAAAATTGTATGTAAAGTATTTTTAAAATTGATGTCGATAAGAAATATTTTATTAAGAATATCGTGTCATTAACATAAAAATAATCTTTTTTTCGGCTTTTATTGTAATTTTATTTTTTAATTAAAATTATATTGGATTAAAATTGATGATAAATACATAAAAAATAAAAATAAATGTTTTATAATTGTATTAAAATATAATAATAATGTAATGTCCTATATAGAATGTTTACAGAAACTGCAAATGCTGAACATGCAATACAGCCAAGTAGGCAAGATCATCATGGAGCATATTTAATTGACAGAAGTCCTACATATTTTGAGCCATTATTAAATTATTTGCGACATGGTCAAGTAATTCTTGATTCGAATATTAATATAGCTGGTATATCTCTTTACATTTAATATAAATTAATACAATGAATACTTATTGATCAATATAAAACAAATATCTTGATTCAGGAGTATTGGCAGAAGCTTCTTTTTATGGTATTGATGGTGCTATTCAAATCCTTACTACAATGGCAGAAAAGGAAGAATTGCAGAAAGAGGGTCTTATATCTCTAACTCGCAAAGATGTACTTAAAGCCATCATGTCAACATCAACTAATGCAGAACTTAGATTCCAGGGAGTTGATTTTGTAAGAGCTGATCTTTCAAAACTAGATCTTAGGAATATTAACTTTAAGGTACATTTATTTTATTAATATTGCAAAAGTTAAATTAATCAATAGAATAGAAATAATGTTAGCAGGAAATCATGTTTATATTTATGCATTACAGTATGCTATCATGCATCATTGTAGTCTGGCAGGTGCTAATTTGTCAGGATGTTGTTTTGAGCGTGCTGATTTATCTCATGCTAATTTGCAAGGCGCACAACTTGTATGTGTCAAAATGTCATGTGCAAATTTAGCTGCAGCCAATATGCATTCGTGCAATTTTGAAGATCCTGGTGGTCTACCAGCAAACATGGAAGGTGTAAATTTGAAAGGTGCTAATCTTGAGGGTAGTAACATGGCAGCCGTCAACCTCCGAGTAGCCACATTAAAAAATGCTATTCTTAAAAATTGCGTTTTGAGATCTGCTGTTTTAGCTGGTGCTGATTTGGAGGTGCAATAATATTACATATATTATGTAATCTTTATTCCTATTAGTATATTTTTGTCTCTTTTACTGCTATGTTAATGTGTGTGTGTGTGTGTGTGCGCGCGCGCGTGTACATACATATATACATACATACATATATTTTATATATATACATTTTTTAGTGCTGTGACTTATCTGGCTCTGATCTACAAGATGCAAATTTGCGCGGTGCGAATTTGAAGGATACTGCTTTTGAGTTAATGTTAACGCCACTGCATATGTCTCAAACAATACGATAACAATGAATGTTATACTGCATATTACTGCAGATTGAATCCTATAATAATGTGATGTTTGATATAATTCATAATAATTTAAATGAGCAATATTTAATATTTAAAATATCTTTTGTGTCATTAAACATAAAAGTAATTATTTTCTGATATAAGTGTTATTAATTAACATATAATACTAACATTATTATTTTATTTACAAAATTACTGTGTGTAACAGTTGAAGCGTGAATTAATGTGTAAAATCTGATGGTTTCTTAAGTGGTTTATGTTAAGTTTATATATTAGTTTTTTCATTATAACAAATATTTCAAAGTTATTTACAATATATTTGTATATATATGCATTTTTCATATTTTTATAATTTGTGAATTATTTATGTAAATATTTTATTATATCATTTTTTTATCCTTGATTTAAAATATCAGTGCTAGGATTTACTTGCATATTTTGGCCCGATTTCGTGACTCACGCCTATTACTTCTCACTTAAGGCTATCGCACACGAATTTCCATAACTGTAAGCAAAAGACGTAACGTAAGAATTAGCCAATGAATGAGCATATAGAATAATTCAACCAATCATAGACTATCCATAAGTTATTGTGCGTAACAGTAAGCATAAAATATAATTTGATTAATCAAAAACGATTTTTAGAAAAAAATAGAAAAAGAAAAAGAAATATCGGCATAACTTGAAGAGGGATTATATTATGCTATTTTATTTAATTTCTATTTTACAAAATATTAAGAAATTAATATATAAAGACATAGTTTATAATATTGTAAAAATTATTAGATATTTTTACAAATTAATTTGTAAAAAACTGTTATGTAAGTATAGTTATATAAAATTAATAATATGAATAATTAATAATATATAAAACCGATTAACCTATTTTTATCTATACTTATCTATACAATAAATATTAGATATAGAAATGATGAGCGACATTTGGAAATATACTAATTTTCTTTTCACAATTATTTAATGGTGTGGATTATTCATTGCATGGAAAAAAAGACATCGTAAAAGAAGATTTTGGTGAGACCTATCAATGAAAATAGATTCCAACAAGGAGATTTTTTTGCATTATTTCAAGAATTAAGAGATGATACTATTATATTTTTTCGCTACACTAGAATGACAGTAGATACATTTTAAATGTTATTAGAAATGGGATCTCCTAAATTTGATAAACATAATTGGAGAGCTTTATCACCTGAATTACGTTTGTCTGTAACACTTAGATATGTTATCATATTATAAATCTATATATATTTTCGTAAATAACTCAAAATAAGATATTTTTATAACTTCGAACATTTATTTAAAAAATCTAAATCTTTTTATTGATTATAGATATCAAAAAATCCTTTTCCACAATTAAAGTATACATAATAAGAGAGTACGGAGTTTAACATTTCATATGAAAAGTGAAAAATAATTATAAAATTACAGTTTTGTTATCGGCCTGTGCCATCAACATTTACTTAATATAAAAGATTCGTAATCTGCACGTGCCTAATTAGTAAACCCCGCACTCGGCATTTCATCAAAGAGTATAAGTGAACTTAGAGAAGTGAGTTTAGAAGCTTTATAAAAAAGATTTTGCAAAATAAAATTTTCGTGCATATGTGTGTGTGCGAGATCGAAGCTCAAGAGTAAAACAGAGCAGTAGATTAGTTGCGTGATATCGCGATAGACAGAGCTGCAATCGTACATGACAAAGACAGACATAATCGTACTATCTTCGTGTTTTTCATGTGTGTGAGAATAATACCAGAGAGAAGCCTGAGAGTGGCCATCCCAGCGTTTTTCGTACGATAGTTTTCGGTCTCGTACAGCAGCGCCTCTACGTCCATTTTACAGACGCTTGGAACTACATGGCCACGTCCACTTTCGGTGACATGATAAAACAACCAATTGGTTCATGTCCATGCTACGTCCACTTTTCGATACTGTCGGTCTCGGTTCATGTCCGTGCTACATCCACTTTTCGATATTGTCGATGCTGGTAGTACACTTTCACTTATAACCATATATATAATAATCTATAAAATATATATTATATATTTTTTTACAGAAGAAAAATGGAAATCAAGATTATAAATAAAAAAAATAAAAGGGGAAATAATAAATTAAATGCATTACAAAATATTTAATTACAAAACATATCTCAAAAAATTGAATTTAAATCCGGATTTTTAGCTTTGAAATAAAAAAAAACTTGTTTTATTGTTGAGAAAATAGTTTGTTGAGAAAACAAACTATTTTTATTTATAATAAAATTTTTTTACATATATGCAATTTGTAATATGTAATTACAGTTTGAAAAAAAGACAAACATTTTAAATATATTTCTTAAAATATAATGTTTAATAAATAAATATATGAATATACCATAAACTTTAAAAAATAGTAAAAAAAACTCGGATTTGAATCCTGATTTGCATCGTGACAAACCGAACATTTTCCAATGATCTACCGTACGTTGAAATGGACATTAATGCTATCGGTACTTGTAGTATATTTATATATTGGATGATTGCATAAGTTTGTGCCCGATTTTCATAGATGGCATTAAGTTACTGCATGGCGGAGTTCTATTGTTTTCGTGTGGTAATTGTTGCTTACACCGAATAGATGACGTTGTCTTATGTCAATTTAGCGTCAGACATTGTTCAGATAAGTCCATTTGTGCATAAGAAAAATCATTAAAAATGGAGAACGAAAAGGTGCATTTGCGGCATGTAATGTTAAATCGCCCTAGATCATCGTCTGCCACTAACGAAGAAAAACAACTTGATATTATGCAGACATTTATTGAAGATCCCAATCCTACTATTAATACTATTAACAAAATTCACGATATTGCTCCCAAGTCCGTTTGGAGAATTTTAAAGAAAAACAAGTTCTATCCATACAAATTACAATATGTTCAAGAATTGCAAGACGGAGATCTGGAGCGTCGTATAGGTTTTTGTGAAAGAATGATGGCACTAATAGATGTCCGGCCTATCTTCCCTTATCAAATTGTTTTTACAGACGAGGCAACTTTCACGTTAACTGGAGAAGATAATAATCAAAATTTTCGTTTCTGATCAGATGAGAATCCGAATTGGGTGCGGGAAACTCACACACAATATCCACAAAAAATTAATGTATGGTGTGGAATAATAGACGGCTACTTAATAG